AAACTCAGATTCGAAAATGTTCACGATCGCAATACTTTCCCTCACTGTATATTAGATATATAGATAGATATAAATTTTTATTTGTTTTTGGAAGATTCTCCATACAAATAGAGCATAGCTTGGCTAGTGTAGAGTAATATGGTTTTACAAGTTACATATCATTTAAATATAAATAAACTTTTAATATAATAAACTACAATATTTTACGTTTAGAATGAGTTTTACGAAACATGAATAACAATAACAAATAAATAAATAAATATATATATATATATATATATATATATATATATATATATATAAGATATTACTTTTAAAATAAACACTTAATAGAACATGGGCTATGATCAACAATTTTGTGTACTCCCATCATATAATAGTAAATTTTATTTAACTTATCTATACAATCGATATTCAATATGGTTTCGATGTGGTTGTCAGAAGATTCTGAGATGAAGTTTTGGAGGAATTTATGTCTATAGTCATTGTATGCTGGGCAGTGAAGGAGAATGTGATGTGACTATTGTAGATAAATTGACTGCATGATATACAAGTTTCTTGAGACTCAATCGAAAAACTTATGTTTTTTGTATATTTACTGTCAATAAAAGAGAGTTAATTTTTTTAAAAATAAACCTCATTAAAGGTACTTTAGAGGAAGGCGTATATTGGGCATTTAAGTCCTGTAAAGTGACATCAATGTGGATAAGACCTTAATGATATTAAAGACCATTTAATTATTCAATGATACACCGAGTTTAATCAAAATCGTTTGAACAGTTTTTCAGAAAATTTTAAAAATGTGTACCCCCGTTGAAATAAAGTGGCACTTCCAGTTAGCCGATTTTAAGGAAAAAGTTGCTATAACATCTCAGTTATATACCTATCTTAAATACGTAATATCAGTTTCGTAGTTTTCGTTTTTGAGCTGGACTGTTCACATAAACACAGACCATTTGGCGGGACTTAGTTATTTGGACTTAAAAAGTGTATTTCCATTTAAAACTGAGATTCGAAAATTTTCACGATCGCCATACTTTCCCCTATTATATATTAGATATATAGGTAAGTTAAATTAAAAATATAAACTCCAATAAATCCCACCAAATTACCTTTACCCTTCGTCGTAAACCAATGACTTCCTGTCCCACAGTTTCCTTTAATAATACTTCACTTATCGCTGTTGAGCAAATCCGATACCTAGGACTCCACCTGGACAAACGACTAACTTGGAATCCTCATACCAGACTGAAACGACAAGAAACGTTTCCGATTACTTCAGCACTTACTAGACAATCGCTCTAAACTTCCAATTAATTACAAAAGACTCATATACTTGACTATAATATGGCCTATTTGGACTTACGGAGTTGAGCTATGGGGCTCCAGTAAACCATCTAATTCCTCTCCTATCCAATCCTTAAATTCCAAAATCCTTCGTAAAATCCTCAATGCTCCCTACTTTGTTAGAAATAAAACCATCCATAATGACCTTCATGTTTCTTTTGTTTCAGATCTGGCCCAATCCAGATACCTATCCTTCCATACTAAACTTCAAAATCATCCCAACCCTCTCGTTTCTAACCTTGCTTCCTCTTCAATTCCTGATAACCCCAAGGTCAGTAAAATTACCAGGTTTGCTCACTCAGAGGGAAAATGGTGGGAAGGAATTGAGCTCTGACGTAGCCAAAAGACTGACTTTATCCCTCCGGCCTTTGTTTCTGGATATTTTAAGATAATTATTTACTTTTCTACATTAAATAAATACTGTATTGTCAAATAACTTATTAATTTTAATAAATTTGAAAGGTGAGAGAAAGCTTGATTTGATATTTGGTTTATTCTGAAGCAAATAAAATGTAATTTAACAAGTTGATGTATGATTTTTTGCAAAGTACCACAATACTACTTTTTAAATATTTTAAATAAATACAGAGCATAATATAAAATAATAGAAATATTGAAAAAAAAAAAGTATTTGATCTTACATTAAAGAAGCGTTTTCTTTCCGTGAATTTTTGTAAATATTACATTTTTATGTCATAAGTCATCCTATGTAGATTTTTCTCAAGTTTTTTGGCTTTGATTTTATGTTTTCTTAATTATTGTAAAATCATTGGGTATTTAAAAATTTGATTCTATTAAATACCCGCTGAAAGAAAGGCTTTCTTCATTAATTTCTACATTTTGTTTCCTAAGAAAAAGATAGTAAATTTTTTTACAATATTTTTACATTTACATTTTAAAATCCAATCTTTTCTTCGAGCGTCCTTTGGAAAAGTATGAAATGAAATTTTCTTTTCCACCTTCTTTGTGTCAATGAGATTAATGTTACAAGATGCAACTGCGCATTTTGTATTTGGCATTCTATAGGATTCTATTAATAATTATGTTATTATGAGAAATACTAATAAGAACAAACGAATTCTCTGTAACATGTTATTAAAAATAAAAAACGAACACTCGTTATAATATTATTTTAGAGACGGATAAGTAGTTGACTGTTAAGATTTAAGATTATATGGTGGAAATAAATTATAAGGATTAGCAGTCAAATTTGTTTATTTTTTAAATTAAATTTGTTTATTTAAAGATATTTTGACTGAAAATCCTGACAAAGATCTTCACCCTTATAATATTATTATAATATCGTTATAATATTAAAAGAAATACCCAACAAACAAAATTACACAAACATTGTGCTAAAATGTTCTCTAAATAAATATAAATCTTAGTTTTTTCTATTTATGTAATATATTTATATATTATTTACAGAGATTTTGAAATAAAGAATTTATAAATAATCTTAATATCAATTTCGTTCTTTTCATTTCAGGCCTGGCCTGTAATTTTCATAGCATTTTATTCTAGATTGATAGCCGTATTTATTTATTTATCTACTTGAAATTATCTTCAATCAAACGTCAAAAACACAGAAAAGTATTCTTCTCAATAAATTAAACAAGAAAAAAAAAAAAGCACAATAATGTTGAAATAAGCCTTCATTGATAGGCTTGAAAGAGTAATAGTAGGTCTGACAGTCTATTCCTTACGTCACGTTTCAAGTTCCCCCACCACGCATTTCTGAGTGAGCGAACCTGGTAGTTTTATTGACCTTGGATAAACCTCCGAGGCGTCTGAAAAGAAGATGGCCCCTTAATCTCCTAATGTAGACATATCATTAGAGTGCTACCATTGGGTAGTCACTCAGCAAGTGTTTTAATGTTATCATATCCATTATGTTCAAATTTACTTGATGTATTTATTCAATACAGTTGTAAATATCATTAAAAAAAAAATAAAAAAAAATATTCACAATATTACTTAATTCTTCTTCGGTGCATACTATTTATTTTCAAGTTAATTTATTATTAGCCATATTTACACCAATTTAAAAATTTTTTGCCACTTAATGACTACTCATCACAATGACGACGTTTCGGCTCGTCGAGCCATTTTCAAGTCTAAAAATTTTGTTTTCATTTACAATCATATATTAACTTTAACATATTTCAAATTATAAAGATTCTTATTATGTACCTAAAATACCCATCATGTACCTGTCATTTTCACTTATGCGAATTGCAAGCGTCTACTCATAATAAAATTCCTTATTATTGTCATGTTCACCTTTGATTATTTACAACATTATTATTACTCAATTCTTTCTTATTAAATGATTCAAATAAGTTAAAATTATCTTATGTGTCACCGACATGTCATCAGTCTCATTTCTATTCAGTGACTGGTTATTTTTAAAGAAGTAGGGGAAGACTATTTATCATAAACAAATACAATGATGTTTCCCAATATTATATGTGGATCTATTTTAAGTAATATTAGCTGATTTATTTCAAATTTTGATTTTTTCAATTGAACTAGCGTAAAAAGTATTCATATTATCCACGTCTGTATGATTATTTACTGAGTTTTTTAAGTTTTTAGTTATGTATATTGCTTCTTTAATTCTACGTTTATTCGTATTTCTTTCATAATATAGGATTTTGGCATTTTTGAAATCAAATTCATGTTTAGTTTGCATATTATGTTTCGAGAGTCCAGTAGCTAATTTAATTTTTGTGTTTTTTGAATTACAATTTTGTTTATGCTGTTTAAGCCTTTTTTCAAACCATTGGGATGTCTGTCCAAAATATACTTAGTTTTTGCAAGTTTTACAATTTATTTTATAATTAATATTCGTTAATTTATCGATAGGTACTTTATCCTATATAATGAAAGAAATACGAATAAACGTAGAATTAAAGAAGCAATATACATAACTAAAAACTCAGTAAATAATCATACAGACGTGGATAATATGAATACTTTTTACGCTAGTTCAATTGAAAAAATCAAAATTTGAAATAAATCAGCTAATATTACTTAAAATAGATCCACATATAATATTGAGAAACATCATTATATATGTTTATAATAAATAGTCTTCCCCTACTCCTTTAAGAATAACCAGTCACTGAATAGAAATGAGACTGATGACATGTCGGTGACACATAAGATAATTTTAACTTATTTGAATCATTTAATAAGAAAGAATTGAGTAATAATAATGTTGTTAAATAATCAAAGGTGAACATGACAATAATAAGGAATTTTATTATGAGTGGACGCTTGCAATTCGCATAAGTGAAAATGACAGGTACATGATGGGTATTTTAGGTACATAATAAGAATCTTTATAATTTGAAATATGTTAAAGTTAATATATGATTGTAAATGAAAAAAATTTTTTAGACTTGAAAATGGCTCGACGAGCCGAAACGTCGTCATTGTGATGAATAGTCATTAAGTGGCAAAAAATTTTTAAGTTGGTGTAAATATGGCTAATAATAAATTAACTTGAAAAAAAATTAAAAATGAAGCAAGGAAACCTTCGCCTGTGATGAGGTCGATTTTTGGACCCTTGGCTCCAGAGCTATAGTGTGAGAGTCCTGGCAGGGGCGCTGGTAGTATTAATTTAGTATTTATTGAATTATATTCACCTGGCCGTTGCCGTTGGCTTTGTTAGTCAGCTTGACTTTGGCAAAGGACACAGCCTCCTTCATCCAGTGAGCCCCGAAGTTGGGACTCTCCGGATGGAGGTAGACCACGTTTGGGGGCGGGGTTTCCGCCTTCCCGCCGGCAATCCACTCTCCGTTCACATATTTCCATCTGAAATAGAAGAATATTATTAATAAAAAAAAAATGGTGGTCGATAATGAATAGCCAGAAAGCTATATTAGTCTGAAACAGCGGTCTTCAAAACTATTTCGCTGGCGCGGTCCATGACCGCGACTGCTCGCGGTTGATCACTGCTTTAGTGGAATAGAAAGGAACCTATTTCGCTGGCGCTGCTCGGCAGTCTAGGTATGACGTCATATCTAAACTACTCCTATATGACTGACTCCTCTTGAAGCAGTGGAGCTGTTGGCGGTTGTAGGTATGTTATCATATCAGAGCATTGTTTTGATGATAACAGTCACCTTGATACGTTTTATTTCCTATGTTTCTTTCAAGTCTGGCAAAATTATAAGAAATATTGTTCTAAACTTAAACAATGTAATAGTAAATTATTTTTTTTAAGGTTTAAGTAACAAGATTATTTATTTATTTATTCCACCAGCAATATTTTACAGCGAAATTCAAATATTCCTAAATCCAAACGATATTAAATAGATTAAAGTATCCAACAAATTTTAACGTCAGGTAATTAATAAAATCCACTCATTGAAAAATTGATTTGTATTTATTAATTAAAGTGGGGATTTACTGATTACTATTGATAAAGAGATAAAACATTGTCTGTTGTGATTTAATTACGGTTGCCAATAGTCTTTGGACTTGGCCGACACTTAAGAAGTAGGTACCTCTCAAAGAAGACCAAGCTGATCATATACAAGACCCTTGTTCGGCCTGTTTTGACATATGGCTCAGAGGCTTGGACGATGACTAAAAACGATGAGATGAAGCTGAGTGTGTTCGAGCGAGGAGTCCTCAGAAGGATTTATGGTCCAGTAAAGGAGGGTGATGTCTGGAGGAAAAGAAAAAATAGGGAGCTCAGTTCTCTCTATACAGACATCGACGTAGTCACCTATATTAAACTGGCCAGACTAAGGTGGGCAGGGCATGTGGCCAGAATGAGCACCGTTGAAATACCAAAGAAAATAATGATGGAGGAGCTGCACCTCGTAAGACGGGTAGGAAGGCCGAGGACGAGATGGTTGGACAACGTGGCCTATGATGCGAGAACCCTGCTTGGTGTACGGAACTGGAGAGCTGCAGCAGAAGACAGAGCCAACTGGCGGAGGCTCTTGAAGGAGGCCCAGTCTCGGTAACGGGATATCGTGACACATATGATGATGATGATTTAATTACAAATATGTGATATTTATTACTAATCAATTATGTAATAATCACTATTACTTTTCAAACTAATAATATCTAATATCAGAGGGACTATTGTTGTTAGTACGGCGTTTCCCGCCTTTTTGTTCTTTTTTGGTTGCTCCTAAATTTTTGATTGTTCATCAAGACAATAAAATAAGACAATGTCCAAGAAGGGATTTGATGATTTCGATGATGATCATCTCATCGAAATACTGATATTCCTTCTCCTTATGAACACCATTTCCTCTTCTTCTTCCTCTTCAAATAAAAACGCCTAGTCAGAGAAAGAATGTCCATTTTTTTACCTTATAACAACCCCAGTGAGCAGTTCCAGCGAAATAGCTGCGCCAACAGCGGTTGGCAGCGTGGAATATCGGTTACTGTCGTGGGCCGCGCCAGCGAAATAGTGCCTTACTTAACCTGGGTTACCTGTTGAGATTATTATTGTCCAAGACAAAGAAAAGATTTAGCCAATCTTCGTCTTGGCTACAGGCGGATCTACGGGGGGAGCTTTCGAGCTGAAGCCCTCTCTGCCCCTCCCCAAAAAAAATGGTAAAATATAACCATGTTTTTAGAAAAGATTATTAAGAACTAGTAGGCCCGTGCGAAAAATTAGCACAGCATAATAAAATGCCAAATTAATAAGAAAATACTGATAACAACAGATCTTATCCCCAGATGTCAAAAGTGTGACCAATCATTAACGATAAAACATATTTTGGAAGAGTGCCCTTTTTACACCGCAAGGTTAAAAGATCTAGGAATATATCAGCATCCCTGAGAAATCAAGAAGAAATCGTTACCAAAATTATCAAGTTCATTGATAATGAAAGACTTAAACAACATATATGACAAGTTTAGAAATTATGATCCTTTGCAGATTTATTATTATTTTTTTTTTTAAAGTTCATTTGTTTATTAATTTCAATTCATTTATTGATTTTATTTCTATTTTCTTAAAGTTTATTTATTTATCTATTCTATCTTATTATCTATAAGTGTCTATTGTTATTTTTATTTATTTATTTTATTCTATCAATCCTTTTATTTATTTTTATTTTTTGTACCAACCACCTAAACAGTACAAAAGTAGTGTTATTTATTTGATCGGGCGCTGATGACTTTGATCTTTTGCGCCCAGACATCGAAACAAACAAACAATAAGAAAATAAAATAATGCAACGTGTATCGAAAGATAAAGAGATCAATTGTTACTTTATCGATAAATATAATCGACGAAGGAAACAAAAATTAATTTAAATCTCCATTAATGTTTGGAAACAACATGTTTACAAATTTCAATAAGCTGTATCTTTGCTGAAAATTGCACGATTTCGATGATTTTTTTTTCGATTCATTTTTTATTTCATAACTTGTTTGCCTGAATTTACGAGGTGATTGGGCCATTTTGGCCGCCTGAAGGAATTGTTAGGAAGATGGAAGCCTTAGTAATTGGTGGCTCAATCTTGAGATTTGGTGAAGAATTAACGATGATATGGCTTGATAAAAAAGAAGATAGATAAATAATATAAACTCCTCCTCTCTCGATCATAGACGACTCAAGTCGACGAAATGAGACATGTATTCAATGACAGTACTGGAATTACCGTAAGGCTGTGTTGAGCGAACCTTGCGTTATCTCGAAAATAGTACGTTTTTGGGCTTAAAAACGCAGGATCCGATAGTTCCGTGGGAACTATATAGGTCTTGCTGTACGCATGGTAATTGAGGATGACAGGAGTTTATATTTGGTACAAAATCGATTTCGAGCCTTACTGTAATATTATATGTCGGGATTTATAGAAAAGAATATTAAGAACTATCTGTTAAAGCACTAGCGGATCCAGGATTTAATTTTGGGGGGCTTCAGCCCGAAAGTTTTTTTTTTTAATAAAAATAACGATAATTACTTTTGAAAAAAAGAAAGAAGCTAACTAACTACCTATATGAAATGGTGTTTAAGTGATTCCTAAAGCCCTTTTAAATGTAATTACACGAACAATAATACTTTAACAGATTTTTTAAAATATTTTTTTCGAAAAAACATGGTTATATTTTAGCACTTTGGGGGGGGGGGGGGAGAGGGCTTCAGCCCGAAAGTCCCCTCCGTAGATCCGCCCGTGTCTTAAAGTATTATTGTTCGTGTGATTACATTTAATAGGACATCAAGAATCACTTAAACACCATGTCATATAGATAGTTAGTTTGTTTCTTTTTAATTTCAAATAAATTATCGTTATATATATACGAAAACAAAAGCTTTCTGACTGAAGCTCTCCCCCTCCCCCCCAAAAAAAATTCGTAAAATATAACTATGTTTTATAGAAAAGAATATTAAAAACTATCTCTTAAAGTATTATTGTTCGTGTAATTACATTTAATAGGACTTCAAGAATCACTTAAACACCATGTCATATAGGCAGTTAGTTTCTTTATTTTTTTTTTAAAATAAATTATCGTTTTTATATATATATATATATATATATATATATATATATATATATATATATATATATGCAAAAACAAAAGCATTATTCGGACTGAAGCTCTCCCAACAAAAAAAAAAAAAAAAAAAAAAAATCGTAAAATATAACTATCTTTATAGAAAAGAATATTAAAAACTATCTCTTAAAGTATTATTGTTCGTGTGATTACATTTAATAGGACTTCAAGAATCACTTAAACACCATGTCATATAGGCAGTTAGTTTCTTTCTTTTTTTTTCAAATAAATTATCGTTATATATATATATATACATACATATATATATATATATATATATATATATATATATATATATATATATATATATATATGCAAAAACAAAAGCATTCTGACTGAAGCTCTCTCCCCCAGAAAAAAAAAATCGTAAAATACAACTATGTTTTATATAAAAGAATATTAAAAACTACCTCTTAAAGCATTATTGTTCGTGTGATTACATTTAATAGGACTACAAGAAACACTTAAACACCATGTCATATAGGTAGTTTCTTTCTTTTTTTTCAAATAAATTATCGTTAGGAGCAAAATTATGGTCTCTAGATGTTTTTATATGTTCTACTGTAAAGGTTATATCCTTTGTTTTGGTTTTTGATTTTTGAATGTGTTACTGAAGTAATGCTAATTTTTTCAGCATATTACTAATGCTTAAAAAAAAAAATGTTTAATGCAATAATTGGAATCACTTTTTATTTCTTTTTATTTGTCACTAGGAAGTTAATGTTACTTTAGATATATAATTGTTTGGAAAAAATAACCCATTGTGAAATAATTTTCAGCGTTTTAAAGTAATTTTGTAATGCTTTTTGAAAATCCATTGATCAATATATTTTTTGGTTCAAGTAGCAATTTTATTTATTTTTCAAATCCAACCTCTTGATGAAGTTTATACGTATTTTCTTATATACCAAAAACAAATGATGAATAGGCTATGTATTTTTTTGTTCTACAGACCTTTTTTGATTCCAGTTGTATTAAAAATTATTTGAAAAATGCCAACTTAATTATTATTTTACACTAATATTATTGAATATTAAACTTGTTATTAGTGACTAATTATATCTCACCTATGTTGTTCCACTTGGACGAACTCCAACAAGAGTGTGTACATCGCATTTGGATCCAAACCGCAAACCGATATTTTTACAACTGGAAACATTCTCCTGCAACAATAAATTTGTTTTTAAAATATATCCTTTCTTGTGTGAAGTACGAGATGCTTAATGCAATATCGCTTTTATTATTTTTATATTTCTTAAAAATACCTTATTTTACACTATGTGTAAAGTTAGTATTGGGGAAACTGTATTTGAATTAAGATTGAGAATTGAAGCAAAGGAACAAATATAAAAGAATAATATTCTTTTATAATGAAAGCATTTTAGCATTCATAGCAATTCATATAAGAATTGATTTATAGTATGTTAATTTTCAAAAAACGTTTTCTCTTATTCTGTCGTATGCAAAGGCATATCTCGTAATAATAATATTTACAAAAAATTCTGCTGTGTCCACTCACACGACTTTCCTACATATTTCAGAAAAGCTTTTATATCTTTACATATGTCCAATAAGAAACAAAACAAAAGTAAATTAGATTTATTTTTATAAAAAATTGATCAAAGAAAAGAATACGATTTCTTTGATAATCTAAAGCAATGTAAACTGGTTTGTGGAAGATCAGTGTAAAAAATTCATTCTAATATTGCTAAAACTTTTTGCCATAGCCCAATTTTGTCAAATAATTTCTATTAGATCTTCAATGCTCCTTACTTTGTCACAAATAAAATAATCCATAAAGACCTCAATGTTCTATATGTTTCCGATTTGGCCAAATCCAGATACCTATTCTTCCATAATAAACTTCATAACTATCCGAATCCTCTTGTTTCTAACCTTGCTTCCTCTTCGATTCCTTATAACCCTCCGAGGCGTCTGAAAAGGAGGTGGCCCTCGTGAACTCCTAATGTAGGCAAATTATTGGAGTGCTACCAATGGGTAGTTTCTCAACAAGCGTGTTTGATGTGATAATATTCCTATGTACACATTTACTTGATGTATTCATACTAATACAGTTGTAAATATCATAATTAAAAAAGTTTTAAATTGTAAAAAATTGTAAATTTCTATTAGAAATAGAGGAAATATTGAAACTTCGGGCACTAGATTTTTTTTACTTTCACTTACTTTTTTTTCTCTCTCCTCTTTCTGGCAACGGGATTTGAACTGTTACATGAGAAATTGAATAGCAAGAATAGTTTATAAGAAATAAACAATTAATCTAAGAAATATTTAAAAAACCATTATGTAAAGAAAATATTTATAAATAAAGAGTGAATTTAACTGGTTTTACCACTATTTTAGGACCTTCTTACCTAAATGTAGTGTTTTTTAAAATAAATAATCTTCAAGTAAGAATTAAATATTGTACGATTTAATATCGTTCATGTAGAATGTAATATTTCGCAACTTTGCTAATGCTGTCTTGGAATAGAGGAAATATTAGTATATTACGTAATTGGCGCCAAGGTTAAAATAATATGTTAAAAGAACGTTTTATAAATTCAATATAAATGAAAACATCATTGGTCTATTGCAAGACGTTATTAAGTAATATTTAATAAAGTTTAATTACTAATTGTTTGTAATTTTGATATTGTATATAGGTATGTATGTGTTCTTTTTATTCATTTATTTTTAGGTTATTTTATTCTTATTTATTGTATTGTATATATTTTTATATTTTATATATTGTATGTTATTTTTCTGCATAATTTATTTTACTTACTGTGCATAGAGTGTGAATGTGATCTGTGAACACTATTATAAATGTCCTTAGACAGATTGTAATATTTTTCAATAAATAAGATTTAAAAAAAAAGAAGTAATTTTGATAAATTTTCGCTCTGTGAAATCAGATTATGAACTTTAATATAAATTATGGCCAAATTGCAAAAATAAATTAAGCAGATATTAATAACATATTGATCGTTCAGTTTCTATAAGCAGTTGTTTATTAGTTTTTTTACTCCATGTATTAGTAATCTCATCCCAGAAATATTTCCCTCAAATCATTCAATATTTTTTTTCAGACCGTTTGTTAGTGTCCAGGTCTCACAGCCATATATTAGACTTTATCATACCATTGTACACCCTTAATTTGATATTTACTGAGATTTTTTAGGATTTCAATATCTTACAAAGGGAGAAGAAATCTCTGTCATAGATCAGGGAGAAGGTCATTTATTGAGCTTATTTAATATTGTCTACTCTCGTGAAAGATTTCTCTTCTAAGTAGTTCTAGTTATTCCGTTGAAATTTTCGGTTTATTATCATATATTTTGGGTTGGCGGTCATAAATAGGCTAAATAGTGACGAAACTATTTTATTAAAAACCAACGTTTCGACCCGACTTTCCAGGGCTAGGACGGACAAAATACAAAAGATAGAATTATTAACAAAGATACAGTCCATTGGTTTTGGTATACTTAATAATGGCTTTCTGTTTAAAGACATTGCATTTAGGAATATAATAGTCTACTACATTTTTTTTTAGGACTAGAACGGCCAGGATAAAAAAGATAGAGAATTGTGGAAGTTACGTAATATTTACACAAAAAATTATAAACAATGTGAATAAGCTTATTAAAATTATGAACAGTACACTGTTTATAAAATTATAATTTTAATAAGCTTATTCAGATCCTAAAAATGTACACATTTGTTAGGCTAGGGAAGGTAAATCGAATGACACCTTGAAAGGGAAGATCGGACAATGTTGAAAAATGAGAGTGTTCAAAATTATTTTGAACTTTAGAGATGTCAGTTACATTATACCTATATCTTGCAGATATCTATGTATGTGCCATATTGCTTATTTGTATAAATACGTGAACTTATCCGTATGTAATCATCTTTAAATTCATATATCTACTTCAAGATCATATGCTTACTACATGCTAAACAGCATACTCTATCTTTTGTATCTTGGCCGTTCTAGTCCTAAAAAAAAATTGCAGTAGACTATTCTATTCCTAAATGCAATATCTTTAAATAGAAAGACATTATTAAGTATACCAAAACTAATGGACTGTATCTTTGTTAATAATTGTTCGATTTTTGCGATTTTTTTTTTGTTTTGTTGGTAATTTGTTAATCTTTCTATCATGGGTACAAGGAAAAAATACATAGTTTTTGAGTTATTCGTAAATAAAGTTTCTTTTCCTCCATAACTTTTTTTCTAAAAATTTCGGAGAGATAGAACTATTTTTCGCATGTGAAGGAAGAATAAGACCTGCAAAGTCGGGTCGAAACGTTGGCTTTTAATAAAGTTTCGTCACTATTTAGCCTATTTACGACCGCCACCTCGGACCATCTCCCTCCTTAATAATGCAACGGTCAACTATTAAATATTCAATATCATATATTTTGTTTTGTCTTCATTTACTTGTACACCGATCAGCCCTGCCTTTCTTATACACCTTAACGAGTTTCTCAATGACACCTTAATTACTTCCAAAGACAGCTATATCATCTGCATATTCAAGGATTTTCGATATTTTTTAAATTATTAATTATTAAACAATCACTTCAGTTATAGTTTTTACCCGACTAAGCGAAACGAAACGATGGTTATGTGTTTGGATCGTCTGCTAAAAAACTATGTAACGCTTTTTTGAGCTAACCGCTGGATCGTGTTTTTAAGTCTGAAGGTCTCAAATTATTCTTTGAGATTCCCAGAGTGTTTTGAAACAATTTCAGCTAAGAATACCAACCCGTTTTATTAAATAAAATGTGTATAATCAATTTGAAAAAAGCTTTGTAACGCTCTTTGGAGCGAACGGCTGGATTGATTTTTAAGTTTGTTGGCTCAAATTATTCCGTGAATGCTATGAAATAATTTGAATTGAAATTTCTGAGTATAAACTCCAATAAATCCCATCAAATTACCTTTACCCTGTGTCGCAAACCTATGACCTCCTGTCCTACAGTATTCTTTAACAATTCCCTACTTATCCCAGTTGAACAAATCCGATACCTAGGACTCCACCTCGACAAACGACTCACATGGAATCCTCATACAAGACTGAAACGACAAGAAACTGCTCGACGTTTCCGACTACTCCAACACTTACTAGACAAACGCTGTAAGCTTTCACTCAATTACAAACGACTCATATATATGACAATAATAAGACCTATTTGGACTTACGGAATTGAGCTCTGGGGCTCCACTAAACTATCGAATTCCTCTCGTATCCAATCCTTACAATCCAAAATCCTTTGTAAAATCCTCAACGCTCCTTACTTTGTCACAAACAAAATCATCCATAAAGACCTTAATGTTCCATATGTTTCCGATTTGGCCCAATCCAGATACCTATCCTTCCATAACAAACTGCAGAACCATCCGAACCCTCTTGTTTCAAACATTGCTTCCTCTTCTATCCCTGATAAACCTCCGAGGCGTCTGAAAAGAAGTTGGCCTCGGGATCTTCTAATATAGAACTTTAATTTGAGTTCTACCAATGGGTGGTTTCTCTTCATATTTTACATGTTATGTTACCAATGTCACATTTACCTGTTGTATTTTTAATGTAATACAGTTGTAAATTTCATAAGTTCAATCCACTAAAAGATACGTAAATAATTTTTGAGCGGATGAAAGAAAGAAAGATAGAAAGTAAATTTTATTCTGAGACATTTAGTCAGAATAACTACAATGGACAAAGAAATGATAATTGTCTGGGGATTGTGAATAATTAAAAATAAATTAATTTACAAAGCTGTCTAGCCTTAATATTAAAATAAAGAAACATGCAAATTTTTCATAATATTAAAAATTCGTAATATAAAAATAAGGACACTGTAATAAGCATATGATCTTGAAGTAGATATATGAATTTAAAGATGATTACATACGGATATGTTCACGTATTTATACAAATAAGCAATATGGCACATACATATATATCTGCAAGATATAAGTATAATATAACTGACATCTCTAAAGTACAAAATAATTTTATTTTACATATATTCGGAAGATTGATTATTGAGGAGGTGGAAAAATAAATTATGTTTAAATGAGGTCAAGGATGAAGATTTCCGTAAAGAGGTTGGTAGGGAATTCCAAAAATGAGGTAGCACGTATGGCGAAGGATTTTTTAAAGGAAATAGTTCGATGAGAAGGAATAAACAGATTATGATAAACGAATTAGATGACATAAGCGATTTTTAACTTTGACGGCAGCAATTACTCAGTTAGATCTCGTGGATGTTTTAAAACAATTTGAGGTAAAAATACTGAATAAAAATGTATTATAATTTAAGGAAGTTGATGGTTCGGGGTGGCTGTCATAAATATACTATAGTTCTGTTGTAATTTAAATATCTTGATTATTATTGATTTGAAAAACATGTAATCATATGTTATATCATATGAAAAAGAATCCTATATATTATTTCTAAAAAGTGTTTTTTTGTGGGTACTCCATAACTTCGTCAATTCTTCATCAAATCCAATGATTGACCACTCGTTTTGAAGATATTCTTCACATGTGAAAAATAGTCCTATCTCCCCGAAATTTCTGTGAAAAAAGTTATGGAGGAAAAGAAACTTTATTTGCGAATAACTCAAACAGTATGTATTTTTTTCTAGATTGTACCCACGATAATTAGAAAGATTTCTAAATTACCAACAAAACAAAAAAAATCGGACAATTATTAACAAAGATACAGTACATTAGTTTCGGTATACTTAATAATGTCTTCCTGTTTAAAGATATTGCATTAAAGAATAGAATAGTCTACTATATTTTTTTTCTGGCTGATATATTAATTTTATTATTTCTTAAAGACATTTGGTTGTTCTTACATTTTATTTTTTTTTTAATAATTTAGAAAATCCCATGATCGAGGGATTATTTTCCCTTTATCCGTACATATATTATTACAGTAAGGCTCGAAATCGGTTTTGTACCAAATATAAGCTCCTGTCATGCTCAAATACCATGAATGGGGTACCGTTGGATTCAGAATTTCACGGGAGGTTAGCGAATCGTATTCTCCACTTTTGTTTTTCTTTCTAAAATAAATAATGTCGATACAAACATTTTGCTAGGCTACGATACTGGAACGGTGGTAGGTCTGTAGATCGATATGGGATAAATTGGATCTTGAAGATTTTGATGCATACAGCAAGACCCGGAACTATAGGACCCTGCATTTTTAAGCCCAAAGACGTACTATTTTCGAGATGACGCAAGGCATAGGATTCGCATCCACACAATCTTACATTAATTGTAGTACTATCATTGAATACATGTCTCATTTCGTCGACTTGAGGCTCCCATGATCGAGAGAAGAGGAGTTTATATTAGTTATCGAAGGAGTTTTTTGTCGGTAAGCCACATCATCGTTAATAATTCACCAAATCCCAACATTTCGCCACCAATTTCGAAGGCTTCCTTCTCCTTCAGGAAGGCAAAGTAGTCCGATTTCCCCGAAAATTCAAGCAAAAAAGTTATGAAAGGAAAGAAGCTTTAATTGCGAATAACTCAAAAATTACATACTTTTCCCCGGATTATGTCCATGATTATATAAAATATTACTAAATTCCTTACAAAAGGAAACAAAATTATTGAAATCGGACTATTTTAGCAAAGATACAAGTTTATTGAAATTTGTAAAGATGTTGGTTCCAAACATTAATGAAGTTTTAAATTAATTTTTGTTTTCTTTGCCGAATTTATTTAGCAGAAAGTAACAATTCATTTCATTAATAATACGTTGCACTGTTTTATTTTCTTATTAATTAATTATTTGATCACTAAAAATATAAAGTGCGAATTTTCGCACGAGCCTACTAGTTTATGACAATTTTGTCTCAGTTTTTGACAAATCTGGTAAAAATCGGCGTTGGTTGACCGTGGTTTTATATCTTACCATATAACCAAATTATAAGGTTTATGTACTCTTTCGACGTAAAATTTAACGTTATTTAATTTATTAAAGAATACATTTTTCGATTTGTTTAGGAGTTATTGGTGAAAAGACATAAAATTTTGAAAAAATCCTCAAATCAAAAAAGCCTAATATTCTTTAAATCGTCCTCTATTTTGGAAATCAGCGGTTCTGGAATTACAGACGAACTTCATTTTACTCAGAATAATTTTCCTAATTTACAATGAAACCTTCGCCTGCGATCAAGTCAATTTTTGGGCCCTGGCTCCTAGGCTAATTTTTTTTGGAATTTTTTTTTTAAATATTACAAATTCTGTATTTTTTTTTATAAATAATTATAGTAATGATATAACATACCTCCCACTCTTAGTGACTATCATCTCATTTGTGAGTGCTTGGAATCGAAGCCACAAGTCTCGTTCCTCGAGTTCTACCGTGGGGAATGCTTCTTCGGAATCCATTGGAATTTTTCTGAATAACAATATTCAATCTAAAAACGTTCTGAAATAGAAAAAAGAAAATAACTTATTTAAAGTTTTATTTTGGTATATTTAAATGCATTAATATATAATTTACAGTTAAGATAAGTTTGTTAATATCGTCAATATAATTGTGAATTCCGAACATTCCCATCCTAACACTGTTATTACCACGTATGGCGATGATACATGTGTCCTAACCGTTAATAATGACCCAACCATTGCATCCCAAACTCTTCAATCACACATCACAAGCCTTGAAGAATGTCAAAACTGGAGGATTAAAATAAATTCTAATAAATCCCATCAAATCACCTTTACCCTTCGACGTAAACCTATGACCTCATGTCCCACAGTATCCTTTAATAATACCCCACTTATTCCTGTTAAGCAAATCCGCTACTTAGGACTTCATTTGGACAAACGTCTAACTTGGAATCCTCATACCAGACTGAAACGACAAGAAACCGCTCGACGTTTCCGACTACTCCAACACTTATTAGACAAACGCTCTAAACTTCCGCTTAATTACAAAAGACTCATATACTTGACTATAATAAGACCTATTTGGACTTACGGAGTTGAGCTATGGGGCTCCACTAAACCATCGAATTCCTCTCGCATCCAATCCTTACAATCCAAAATCCTTCGTAAAATTAAAGATATTTTAATAAAAAAAATAAAAAAAAGTGCACCTAAACAAGTTTTCACTAAAAAAACACACACGTTTACTGTTTCCATGCCGGATATTCCCAGGCCCAAAACGTCTCAAAATGATGAATGCTGCCCTGCCCAAATTTCTTCGGCTAGGTACTGAGGAGGCCATTAACTTTTCCCAGAGTGAAGTATATACTGTATAAAGTATATACCTGATCCTTCACTTCAAAAGTCCCGGGAGTTGTTAATGCCACCAGAGGTCTATAACGGCTGTGCTGGGTGCCTGTGTTGAAATAGTAAAAACTTTTTGTTAGGATTGATAATTTTTCATTATCGATAATTGATCCTAATAAATCGATAATTGTTTATTAAATTAGTTCAGAGTTGTTATAATTTACACCGATTACAAATTTTTCAATGAGTTCGATACTCAACAGAGGTGTAGGCATTTGTGAACATAGCCGCTAGTGTTGCCTAAATACGAGACCAAGACGAGTCTTGGTCTTGCACAAGAATCTCGCAACAGTCTTGCTGTTACCTATTAGCTTATTACTACAGAGAAATCACTGTAATTTTTTAGGTAGGAGAAATCTAACTAAGCTCGAATGAAAAAGTAGAAGAGTTAAATGCAGAAGTATATTGGTTATAATTGTGGGTAAATGGTTGACCGTCGTGAATAATGAAGAGAAGAATAGTTGGGGTGATCAGTCAAATAAGAAGGCAAAAATAAATGATAATATTTATTTTGACATTTGCCGACGTTTCGACCTGAAGTTCAGGCCTTCATCAGGGATAAGAAAAGAACCAGATAACAAGGTATGAGAAACATGAGTAGTGTAGGTAAAAAAAAAAAAAAAATTAAAGTAAAATGAAGTTGGTAGAATAATGACAATAGTAAGAACTAAGAGATAAATAATAATACCGTTACAAAGTGTGGAATGATGAAGTAAACATAATAAAAAAAAGGTGACAGTATTAAAATGGGAATCTTAGAATAAAATGTAAAACAGAAAAAAAGGAATATGAAGTTATATAAGAAATGAAAAAAAAATAGTAAAATTAAGATATTGCCAATAGAACAGTAATAGAAAATTGAGATATTGTAAAGTCTATCAAAGTGTACAGACAACGTATAATATAATAAAGAGTTAAAACAGAGAAAATGAATGAAAAAAAGGAGGGGAAAAAAAACTGAGAAGGCTAAAATAAGAAAGAGAAAAAAGACAAAAAACAAACCTGCCTCCATTCTATATTGGTTATAATATAATCAAAATCGTGAAAAATAGTGGCCTTAAAAAATATTGAGCCGTTTGGCCTATAAAACCTCGTTATATTTTGTAATTTTGGGGATGTAGGTCATGTCAAACGGCTCAATACTTTTGAAGGCCACCATTATTCTCGATTTTTGCTCGAGATATCTTACGATTAAAATGGAAAACAAATGGGTATTTAGGAGTTTTTAGAACCTAATTAAATAGACAAACGTTCCCGACCAACAAATTGAAAACGACCCAATTCCGAGAATTTTCGTAAATAAAATATTTGTAGAAACTATTTACGAATTTTCAGATGGATCTAAATAATTGATAAAAAGAGGTCTGTACCACGAATTATAACTAAAATTGTCAAGTATTAGTAACTATTTCGCTTTAATGGATGACAAATATTCAGTCATTTTTTTTAAAGCCAATGTTTCAACCCAAACATCTGGGTCATCTTCAGGGCTAAAAATTTTAAAATACAATCAGAGATATAATATTATACGACCAATCATGATAAATAATAAATTATAGTGATTTGATGGTACATGAATCTTAACTATCATTATAATCCACAATATTAAAAATGAAATATGTAAAAAGTAAAACTGAAAATAATATATGTAGTCTATATATAAAACTTGTAATATTTTCTCCTACTAACCGTGGTTCGGTAAAGCACTGAAGGCTTTCAAGTACTGACACATTTGGTAGGTAAGTGTCAGTACTTCTGTTTGTAGAATGTAAATAATTTGCTGACTATATATTCAAGATGTGTACAAGATTTGCGTTGTTTCTTATGGTTACAGAATTGTGACTATAGGCTAGTAATGAAATGAACATAAGCAAGAGATGCCAATCAATATAAATATAACATAGTTTGATTGAAGGTATACAATAGTTAGCCAAATAATAAATACAATTGTAACGGATTGAAAACATACGTAGGACAATATGTTATACAGTATTTAAAAAATAACAATATTAATCATAATAGAAGTATTTATTATTTTAAGGATTACTTAGTTTTAATAGTATCAGTATAAACATATCTGTGTCTGTTTATAGTATATATTTATATTGAGAATGGAAATTATATCTGTATATATATATATATATGGGATGATTTCTCCCCCGACCTTTTCACTTACCTACACGGGCGGATCTACGGGGGGCTTTCGGGTTGAAGCCTCCCTTCTCCCCCCCCCCCCCCAAATTGGGAAAATATAACCATGTTTTATCGAAAAAAATATTAAAAAATTATCGCTCAAAGTATTATTGTTAGTGTAATTACATTTAAAAGTATATACTTTTTTGTATACAGTTTATGGAATTTCCTAAAAAAAAAAAAAAAAAATCGGACAACTAGGAGGAAAGATATGGTCTCTAGTTTTTTTTCTCTGAAGAGAAAAATATTGAAAAATATTGAGAAAAATATTGAAATCGGAGTTAGTCATTCTGAAGTTTATAAAAGCAAAGAAAGTTGTGTGGTTTATAAAAGCAGATGGAGTGACTAGATTTTTATTGCCGGTTGTCGATATATTAAATAGACATTTTCTAATTATAATGGTCTTAATGAATTGTTATATATATGTTTTAAGCTTTAGCTCCGTTTAAAATGCACTTCAAAAGAATTTATAATAGCCTATGCCAAAAAATGTCTATTCATAATAGATCGGTATGTGAAAGTTGTGTGTTGCGCGCACCAGATTTTTGTGTATTGTAATAATAGTTAAGATTCATGTACCATCAATCACTGTAGTTTATTATTTGCCATTATCGGTCGTATAATATTATATCTCTGATTGTATTTTAAAATTTTCAGCCCTGAAGATGACCTACATGTTTGGGTTGAAACTTTGGCACAAATAAAAAATAAACATTCTTTCCTTTTAAAAATCTTGAATATTTATCACCTATCACTTCGGAAGTTATTGAGGATTTACCACAAGAGAACGTTGAATTTAGATTTATTATCCTTACTTTTTATTTATTTAATTTGTTTTTTACCGTATTCGAGTTACCATCGACCGTGTTTTTGACTAAATAAAATATAATTGTCTATAAAGGGCCAAATTATTAACATATCAGGAGTTTAATAGCTAATTTTTAAAAAATATTTTTATTATTACATAAATGTAACTTTATATATTTATATTTTACAATAATATGTCGTTATTAAATAGGTGAGAAATTGTACAATATCTGAGCAATGTAATGTTTACAATGCTTACTACGAGACATGGATTTTTAAATATCTATTTGTATCTTCCCCGAATATGTTTACAATATTTTTTACTTCCCTACCTATACTAGGTAAGTAAAGTATTGCAATCGGGTCAAATTTCTGACATTCGGTTTTCGACGGATCTATACGTTTTACAGCCCCTTGAGTCCGAAAAACACATTTTTACCCATTGGTCTGTCTGTCTGTGCCAAGATTTTCTCGGGAACTACTGAACCGATTTTGTTGCTTCTTTTTTTATTTTGTAGGATTTTGACTACCGATGCCTGTGACAGAAATTCGGTGCTCCATGCGCAATAGCTTGCGCACAATAAATGAAAAACACGTTTTTCTATAGACTGTAGCGCAAAAACGGCTCAAACAATTTTGATGAAACTTGTCTATAAAGTTGTAATAATTGACCTTTTAATTTTTGTATATGGGCTAAATTCCCGAAAAAATTCAGAAAAAAAAAGTTATAAAGAAAAGAAAATTTTTATGGGACCTAACTCTCTAAGTATATATTATACAGTAAAATTTATAATAAAACTTTTGAAAGGTAATTAAATTACCAACAAAACGAGAAAAAAAATCATTGGAATCGAACCAGTATTAGCGATGATACAGCTTATTCTATTTTTTACACATTTTTTTAAACTTATTTTATTACTTTCCTACCGAGTCCGAAAAACATATTTTTAGCCATTTTTGAAATGTTTACACTGATCTACCTTAAGCCGGTTTACATTGCTTTATTTCTCAAATATATCGTACTTAAATCTTATGTTTGATCAATTTTCAGGAAAATGTATATAGTTCAATTCTTTTTTGTTTCTTCATGAACATATGTAAAGATATAAAAACGTTTATGAAATAGGCAGA